AAGCAAATTTGATGATTTTTTTTTGGTAAATATTAAATATACACATTTCTTATATTAGGAGACTCACAATGAAATTTGATCTGGAATATTTCCTTCTTTGATACTTTCCCTTAAAAATGAAATTTTAAGGGAGATTTTGCCTTAAAATTGAAACGTGCTAAGTTTGCATTAAAAATTCAAACCCATATTTTTCCCTTGAAATATATAAATTTCGAATGTAATTTTCTTGAGAATCATTAAACCTTGACATGTGATTTATTCGGAGATTTATAGTAAAATTTAGTGTAGAATATTTCTTCCTTTGACAATTTTCCTAAAAAATGCAGTATTAAAAAAGATTTTGACTCAGAATGGAAACACCCTTAAATTAGCAGTGAAAAATGTTAACACGTTTTTTTTACTTTCAATACATAAATTTCTAATGTAATTTTCTTATAATCCATTGAACCTAGCTATATGATTTATTCTGAGATCAGTGGTGAAATATTGTGCAGAACATTTCATATTTTGGCTCTTTTTGTCTAAAATGAAATTTTATGGTAGTTTTATGCATTAACTCAAACAAATGCAGAGGAAAAATTAATCAAAAATTAGGAAATATTTTCGAGTTATTTTTCCAATATTGGTGCATATATTTTCTTGATGTATATATTTTCTTGATTTCTTTTACTAGGAGACTCATAATGAAATTTGATCTAGAATATTTTCTCCTTTGATATTTTCCCCCAAAAAAACTATTTTAATTGAGATTTTGCCTTAGAATTGAAACGTGTTAAGCTACTATTAAAATTTTTAAACACATATTTTTCCCTTGTAATATATAAATTTCGAATGTAATTTTCTTGAGAACCATTAAACCTAGACATGTGATTTATTCGGAGATTCATAGTGAAATTTAGTGTAGAATATTTCTTCCTTTGATATTTTCCTAAAAAATGCAGTATTAAGAATGATTTTGACTAAGAATCGAAACCCCCTTAAATTTGCAGTGAAAAATTTTAGCACCTTTTTTTCACTTTCAATACATAAATTTCTAATGTAATTTGCTTATAAACTATTGAACCTAGCTATATGATTTATTCTGAGATCAGTGGTGAAATATTGTGCAGAACATTTCATCTTTTGGCTTTTTCTGTCTAAAATGAAATGTTATGGTAGTTTCATGCATAAATTTAATAAAATTAAAAAAAAATGATTAAAAAATTAGGAAATATTTTTGAGTTGTTTTTCCAATATTGCAGCATATATTTTCTCGATATATAATGGAAATGGCAAATTCTCTTCGTTGGCGACTTATAGTGAAATTTGATGAAGAATAAATTTTTCTTTGATGTCATGTTTCTAAAATGATGTTTTGTTGGAGAATTTTGCCTAGATTCGTTAAGAGTGCGGCATTAAACCTGTAAAATGTACTTTTTTGAAATATATTTTTGAATTCCTGGCGTCTACGTTAATTTCAGACTTGATGTATCCTGAGGCCTATAGTAAAATTTTATGACAAATAATTTTGTAGAATATTTTGACATGCTACGATCCCGTTTAAAGTGAGTTTTTAACCATTTTTGAAAAACACAGACCAAAAATACCTCTTTGATGACCCGCTTTATTGATGCAAATATTTTCTTGATACGTAACGGATTTACAGATTTCTTTTCTTTGGTAACTTATAGAGAAATTTGATGCAGGATATTTTTGTCTTTGATATCATCCTTCCAAATTGATGCTTAATCGGAAAATTTTGCCTAAACTCGCATGGAGTACGGTTTTAACCCTAAAAACACTTTTTAATGTAATTTTCTGACGTTTAGGTAAGGTTTAGACTCTTCATGTCTTCTGGGACATCATTTTTTATTTTTTGAAATAATTGAGTAGAATATTTAGACTTGGACCAAAAAGTCCCCTTTGATGACCCGCTTTATTGATACGTAATGGAATTAGAAATTTCCTTTCTTTGGTAACCTATAGTGAAATTTGATGCAGAATATTTTTGTCTTTGATATCATCCTTTCAAATTGATGCTTAATCGGAGAATTTGGCTTAAACTCGCATGGAGTATGGTTTTAACCATATACTGTCTTTTTAATGAAAATTTCTTAAGTTTAGCTAATGTTTAGACTCTTGATGTCTTCTGGGACCTATAGTAGAATTTTATGACAAATAATTAAGTATGATATTTTGACTTGCTACGATGACGTTTAAAGGGATTTTTTAGGAATATTTGGGAAAAAGGACCAAAAAGACCTCTTTGATGAACCGCTTTATTGATACGTAATGGAATTACAGATTTCTTTTCTTTGGTAACCTATAGTGAAATTTGATGCAGAATATTTTTGTCTTTGATGGCATCCTTCCAAATTAATGCATAGTGGGAGAACTCGTGTGGAGTACGGTTTTAACCCTAAAATGTCTTTTTAATGTAAATTTCTGACGTTCAGGCAAGGTTTAGACTCTTGATGTCTTCTGGGACCCATAGTAGAATTTTATGACAAATAATTTTTAATATTTTAGAATATTTTGACTAGCTACGATGCAGTTTAAAGGGAGTTTTTATGATTATTTTTTGAGAAAAAAGACCAAAAAGACCCCTTTGGTGGCACACTTGAGGGTTAAAATTTCCTCACATTGTTATCAGTAATATTGCTAAATCGACGGAAATCGCTAAATCGACATAGAGTTTTATGCTGATCAAAAATATATATACTTTGTGGGGTCTAAAGTGTATATTTCGAGGTGTTATTTCCGTCTGTGGCAATCACTCTAGCTTCCGAACGAAATGAAGTAGGTTGATAAAATTTTACTCAAATGTATATTATGTCTGCAGGACTTTTGGTATTGAAAATGAGCCATGTAGGTCCACGTTTTGGTATAGCTCCCATATAACGGTACCTGCCGATATTCGGTAGTTTGATGATATTAGCGGAATTATTTACCGGAATTGTTTCAAATTTAGTATTTGAAGTTTGTAATGGCTATTTCAGCCTATGACAGAAAATTGTCCGTTCAGGTCCACTCCTTCGTATAGCCCCCATATAACGGTACCTCCCGATATTCGGAATTTTTAGGATATTAGCGACATTATTCGCAGGAATTGTTTCAAATTTGGTATTTGAAGTTCGTAATAGATATTACAGCCTATGACAGAAAATTGTCTGTCTTCGTATAGCGCCCATATAGCGGTACCTTCCGATATTCGGTATTTTGATGATTTTGACTACATTATTCACCGATTCTTTTTTTCAAATTTCGCATTTGAATATTGTAATGGCTTATGACAAAAGTTGCCTATGCAGGTCTACGTCATCGTATAGATCCTAATACCATGGTTAAATTCGGTATTTTTAAGATTTTAGCAGAATTTTTAACGGATTTTATTTTTTTTTTTTTTGAAAATTGCCAAATTCGTTCCAAATGGTGGTGGAGGGTATTAAAAGTTCGGCTCGGCCGAACTGACAGCTTTCTACAGCTTGTTCTATATTTTGGAGATAGATCAGGTTCCCTTATTCTCAAATTTTAAGGATTTGGAGGATTGCCAATTGGGTCATGATTTAAATGATGATTTTTTACATCGATGTAAAATTCAAAACATAGAGCATTCAAAATTAGATAATCCACTTTGACCGCTTTTTTTCTCATAACTGAAAAAATATTTAAAATTCCGCTTGTAAAAAAAAATTGATATTTATTTTCATTTTAACCCCACATTAAAGTATTTGACCAATCGCCGATTATTTTTATGATTTTTTACACCAGACATCTATGCGATTTTCTTTGCCATTATAAGAAATCACAGCCATTAGGTGCCAGGCAATTACAATTATGATGATCACATCCATTTCCATCTCCATATCCCCAACCCTGCCTCTGTCTTCGCCCCATCATCATTATTATTTGCGTGTCTAGTTTTTTTTGGGGGGTATCAAAAGGTTAAAGACATGGACATGAACAGCATTTAATAATCAATGCATTTGAAAATCATGTCTAACTCCAGGCCAGGTCTCAACAACAACAATTCTAACTCATTGGATAGACGGATGGATGGATGACGTTATACATGACCCATGGACCAACCAATCGACCGACAACCGGTCAGTCAGTCGTCTAAATAAATGTTAACAAATGAAATGGACCGCGTAATCAGAGTTGATTAAAATTTAATCATTTTTCTATGACTAATAAAATCATGGCAACAAATGTGTGGATAACCCCCCAACCCAACCCCTCCTGCTTCCTCACAAGGCATTTTCATGTGGGGGTGGTTAGATTTTTTTATTTGGCTGTGTGGTTTTTTTAATTGGCTTGCTGTCGCCTATTTGGGTTTGCTGTTGCTGCTGCTTCTCACAACAAAGTATGGCGAGTGGCATGGCGTGGCGTGTTTGGAAATTAAGGCACATTCTGGTGCCCGTGCCCTCTAGGGTTCAAACAAGTTGATTGGATTTAACTAGACAAAACTAATGGACATCCAAACATACAAACGTACATACAACATGTGTATATGTCTTTTTCAATTTTTGTTTCAATTTTTTTCGATTTTTACTAAGTCAGCAACTCTTCAATGCAAATTTGAATGCAGCTTCGCAAAAAGTATTTATTTTTTTTCCCAATTTTTCTAAAAATATTGACTTTGAAGATAATTCACTTTGATGGTTTGACTGTCGGCAGCAATAATAGCTGACAGCTTAATTTGACAATGTTTTGGCCTTTGATGCTGATGATGACGACGATAGTATGGTGACAGGAACATGTTTCAGGGATTAACAAGAGAAGGAGAAAAAATTAAAAAAAAAAAAAAAAACTGGGATTAAAATTTATATATTTTTGTTAAACCTACTTTTCTTGTCAAACCTTCAAACATGTTTGACATACATCAAATTATTAATTTTTTTAATGATTTTTTAATGATTTTTTTATTGGTATTTTTTTTTTGTAACCGTAAAACATAGCTTGTTTTTACTACTCCTTGTAATTTGTTGTATTAATTTTTTGTTTTCTCTTCATTGCAGTTCAACTTTGTTGGTCGAATTTTGGGTCCTCGCGGCATGACAGCCAAACAATTGGAACAAGAAACTGGCTGTAAAATCATGGTCCGAGGCAAGGGCTCCATGAGAGACAAAAAGAAGGTAAGTCCAAAATTCATTTTGTAGAGGATATTTATTACACCGCACCTCTTAAACCTTGGGGTGACCATGGAGAGAGAGTAGATGTAGATACAGATACAGAACATCTTCTGTTTCTTGAAAATCCCCTCCACATGATGCGCAAATCGACTTTTGTCTATGGAATACTGAAGGAGGTCTACAGCCAAAAAAAAACTGCAGATAGTCTTATATTTCTAGAAAACTTGCAGCGGATCTTCTACCATTGAAATACCTGCAGAAGATCTTCTATCTGCTGAAGACATGTAGAAGATTTGTAGGCTATCTGTCTTTAGGATACCTCCAGAAATAATTCTTTCTTTCTTTAGGGGATAGCCAGATGGTCTTCTGACTATCGACCAAAAGAAGGCCCCCTTGAAAATCCTCTCCACAAGATGCCCAAATGGTCTTCTGTCAATGGAATACTGGAAAAGGTATTCTACAAAAAAAAAAACTCATAAAGTCTTCTATTTCTAGAACACTTCAGGGGATCTTCTACCTTTAAAATACCTGCAGAAGATCTTCTATCTGCAGAAAACCTTTAGTAGATTTGTTGGCTATCTGTCTTTAGGGGACCTCCAGAAGTAATGGTTTCTTACTTTATGGTTTTCTGACTATAGAAACCATATAGAATCTCTAGAGGACCAGAAGAAGGCCTGCTATCTCTCTAGTAGACCTAAAGAAAGTCTTCCGTCTCTTGAAGATCAACAGAAGGTTTTCTAGGAGGAGAAGACCTTCTTCAGGTCTCATTCTAAAGAATGCCTTCCATCTCTAAATGACCGGAGGAAGGTATTTTCTCTGTAGACGATCTAAAGAAAGTCTTCAATCTCTAAAAAATCAACAGAAGGTCTATTGTTTTTTGAGGACCTGGGGAAGGTCTTTTGGTTTTTTTGAAGGTCTTCTGCCTTTAGGACACCTGAAGAAAATATTTCATAGCTGGAAGACTTAAAGAAGATACTCTATCGCTAAAACGTCTGACGAAGGTCTTCTTCTATCGCTGGAAGACTTAAAGTATCTTCTATCTATCCCTAAAATATCTGTCCTGCGGAAGGTGTTTTATTTTTCTTGAAAGTCTTCTGCCGTTAGAACACCTGAAGAAAATATTATATCGCTGGAAGACTTAAAGAAGAAATCCTATCGGTCAAAGATCTGTAGCTATCTAAAGAGGGTCTTCTATGGCTAGAAAATCTGAAGAATGTCTTCTGTCTTTGGAAGACCTGCAGGCCTTTTTGCTTGGGAAGACCTACCGAATATCTGTTGTGTCTGTGAGACCTCTAGAAGATCTTCTGTCAATATCAGACCTGCAAAAGTCTTCTGACTTTAACAGAACTTCTGAACATCTTTGTTTTTTATCTTCAGAGAATTTGCAGAAGATCTTCATTTTCCAGGAGACCCGTAGACCCTCTTCTGTCTTTAGAGGACCTCACAAGGTCTTTTTTCTTGGGAAGGCGTGTAGAAGGTCTTCTGCCTCTGGTAGACCTACAGAAGGTCTTCTATCTCTAGAACACCTGATGGAAGTTTGCTGCCTTTAAAAAACCTTATTAACCTTACTATTGTCTCTAGAAGAACAGGAAGGTTTTCTGTCCCTAATAGACCTGCAGATGGCTTGTGTCTCCAAAAGGGTTTGCAGAGTACCTCTGCCTACAGACCTTAAAGATCATTTTGCTCTGAACGAGCTCTGAATGATTTATTTTTCATTGTTTTCCTTTGGAATTTTCGAGTTGCAAAAAGTTCCAGCTCCCGCCGTGCTTTAAACCCTTTGTGGTTTGTTTATATGAAAAATAAATGGAATTTCATGTTAGCTATTATGGCCATAACATTTTGAATTTTTTCATGCGATTTTCATTTGCTCCAACAATAACCATTTTCCAGCAGAATTTTTCATTAAGGTCATATTGTTGTGTTCGGAGCAATGCAATGTTCTGGGGGGTAGTTGTAAAAATACGAAAAAAAAAAATAGCAGCCAGTGGAAAATTCTTTATCTGTGCGAAAATGAAAATATGAAACATTGTTTCACATAATCTCATAGAGAGCGAAAAAAAACTGTTGCACATTTGGGTGTATGTGTGTGTGTGTGAGTTGGGAAAACCGTCCTCACATACACAGACACACATTGCGGACATTGTGGTAAATGTTCCATTATTTTTTATGTTTCGAGTTTAAAATTAAATAAAAAATCTGAGCAGAAGAAACAAAACTGAAATTGCCACGCAATTTTGAAACAATTCCTAGAGCAGGGCAAAGCTAAAATAGATGGAGGAACGAACGTCCGGCATGGATGGCATCAAAACAAGAAAGTGCGGTGTGGCAGTTAGTCCGTTGTCACGAGGCAGGCAGGCAGGCAGTGAGTATTTTATACCCTACACCACAAGGTGTTCAGGGTATTATGTCAATGGGCATTTGTTTGTAATAGCCCAAAGGAAACGAGATAGACCCAGATAGATCCTTTTGATGATCTGCATAGAATCACATTCTGAGTCGATTTATGCATGTCCATCCGTCCGTCCGTCTGTTCATGTATTTTTGTAAACAAAGTACAGTTCGCATTTATTACCCGATCCAGATGAAATTTTACGCAAATCATTTGTTTGGCCCAAGGACGAACCCTATTGAAATTGGAGATAATCGGTCAAAAATTAGATATAGCTCCCACATATATCTTCGTCCGATTTGCTTTTTATTGTGCACCAAACGTGTAATATCAGCCCGAATAGTATGGAATTTTGCACATACAACCAAATTAGGCCTGAAAATAAGTATGCCAAATTTGATGAAGATCGATTCAGATATAGCTATAGCTCCCATATATATTGTTCATCCGATTTGTTTTTTTTTTTGTCCTCCGCAGCCGTAATATGCACTCTGTGACAACAATACTTGGGGAAATATATGAAATACAGCTCAGAAATATCATTGCCAAATTTTATCAAGATCGGTTCAGATTTGGATATAGCTCCCATATATATCTTTATCTGATTTCAAATTAAATTTGAAAAAAAAAATGGGCAATACAAGTCCGAATCGCCATATTTAGTCCTTTCATAGCATGTATGATTGAATTCTCCCATAAAAACTTTTAATTGTTATGTGAAGCTCCACTAAATTAGCAAAGTGCTGTAGGGTATCATAAAGTCGACCCCGCCTGACTTTAGGACTTTCTTTACTGTTTTGTATTTTCTGTTTTCTTGGCTGGCATGTTGACGATGTTGTTTTGGTGCTGATGATGAGGATGACAAACTTTAAATCCAAACAACCCAATTTTATTTGATGTGAGTGGGTGAAATGAAATTCTGCAGCACTACTCTGCCGCTGCCACTGCCTCTGCCGCCGCAGCTGCTGCTGCTACTGCTACTGGTGTTGATGATGATTTTGATGCCGGGCGTTGGCACATAAATGAATGTGTTTTGCCATATTTCGGACAGTTTGAGATTCTTATTCATTTTTCTTTTTTTTTCATTTTTTTTTTTTTCATTTAATTAAAATCTTTAAGAGGCCACAAAAACAAAATTAAATAAAATGTATTTTTCATATTTAATAATTGTGTTTGTAGATGACTGTTGCCACTGCTCGTATAAAAATATATGAAATATATGTGCGTGTGTATGTGTGTTTTTACAGCCAATCACCAAAATCACTTTATTTCCTTTTCATTTCAATTTCCCCCGCTCTCATTTTTGGCAAATAATTTTACTATTTTTATGGGTGGCCAGAAAAAAAATGGCTTATGGCTTAACTGAAGAATCATCATCATCACAATCGTGATTCACCGGCAAATTTTCAAAAATTATTTTCAATATTTTTCCAACACTTGTTTTCTATATATTTTATTGCTGTTTTCAGCCAGAGAACGGGAAATCAAATGTCAACAAAAATATTTACATTTCCATATCATTTCAATTTTTTTTGGCTTTCTTGTGAGTGGTGATATGATTGAGTGATTTTGAAAATTATCATTTCTCTCATCAGAATCATGGCAAACGAAATTTTTGATTGATTGATGTATTTTTTTTAATATTGAATGCCAAGCAAGTTTTCCAGGGGGAGAAGGATTCCCTTTAATAGAAGTTATATTAAAGATATTTAAGGTACACACACACACATCTAAATAAATATACTTATTTTATGATCAGATGGAATTTTATATCACCGAAAACAAATGAAAGTTATTTTTTAATTTTTAAAAGTTCTAAGGGCGAAAAACTCTCATTAACAAAATTAGGGAGATTTTTTGATGGTTTCTTGGTCCTTAAAAAAAATATTCCTCAAAATCTAAATTTGTGAGTCCTTGAAGAAAACAAATTCTTAAAAATCCACGTTTATTGGTTCCTGAAGAGACATTATTTAAAAATCAACCATAGTTGGTCTTTTGGTCCTTTAAAAATATCCTTAAAGATTGTCATCCAAAATTGTCTGGATTAAAAATCAACGATTGTCCTTGGAAATATTCTTAAAAAATCTTAGATTGTTTGTCGAATGGTCCTTAAAAAAATATTTTTTTTAAATCCATATTGGCCCTTTAAAAAAATTTCCTTAAAATCCACGTTTATAACTCTTTCGGAAAAAACACGTTTCATGGCCTGATATTGCTTCAGAAAATATCCTTGAAAACCCAACGATTATATCTCCGATAGTCCTTTAGAAAATATCCCTTGAAATCCTTCAGAAAATACCCTTTAAAAATCCACGTTTACAACTCTGATAGTCCTTTGAAAAATATCCTTGAAAAATCAACGATTATATCTCCGATAGTCCTTTAGAAAATATCCCTTAAAATCCTTCAGAAAATACCCTTTAAAAATCCACGTTTACAACTCTGATAGTCCTTTGAAAAATATCCTTGAAAAATCAACGATTATATCTCCGATAGTCCTTTAGAAAATATCCCTTAAAATCCTTCAGAAAATACCCTTTAAAAATCCACGTTTACAACTCTGATAGTCCTTTGAAAAATATCCTTTAAAAATCCTCTGATAGTCTTTTGAAAA